TAAGAACATAGGGATATCATATAGTCCCCACCCCCATATGTCCATAGCTTTTCCCATTATCCATACAGTCCAGAGTGGTACTAATACTTTTTTCCCCCCAAATTAGGATGAGCCAATAGTTAACAAATCTTATGAAGTTCATAGTTTAAAAAGTTCATTCTTGTAAGCATTCACTGGGTTTGGATAAAGGTTCATAATTGTGCATAGTATTTTTCCTTAAATATTGAGTATGACTCAGCTGCTGCTGGGGGCGTGGGGGTTAGAGTATACAATGGCAACAGGGAGCAAAAGAGATTGCTGAAATGCAATGCTGAAGGGAGCAGTGTGCAAGACAGGTCTGCTGTGCCATGTGCATCAGCTCCCCTGCCAGGGATCCAGTTTGTGCTGCAGTTAATGTGTTGAATGTACAGCTTATTCTTGATTCTAAAATAAATAGTCCCAGTCTAGTGAATGGTTTTGCAGTAAAAACTGGACAACTTAACAGTTTTGAAAGATTTATGCATGCAAAAAAACAGGTACAGGCCAGAGGTGGGTGTGAGATTAACCACCAGCACCGGATAGAAATTTGGTAAGTCGTGATTTTCCTTTTGAGCAGGATCCTTAGAAGGTATTTAATGATAAGACTAAAGACTTTCTAGCAGCAAAGGTCACTTGGGCAGAACTATTCTGAAAAAAATACGGTGGTGGTTTTCCAGGACTAAAAGGATTTTTTAAAAATAACACTTACCATGGGATGTCTGGCAAAGTAAAAATTTCCTGTTGCCTGCATGGTGAAAGATGAACTCTAGAACAGAGGGAGGCCAGATGGACACTCACAAAAGCAAATGTCTATACATCTCACATAGGTAATAGAAATAAATGTTAACAAGGGCATCCCTGGTAGTTGCAAGGGCTTAATGTCTCAACATTAGCAAACTACTGGCAGCCACTGTAACATGAGTTCCATCCCATGAGGAAGCTGACCCACATGGCTCATGTTTCCTGACTCAGACTGTTCCCTCAGTAGTATATTTCAGGCAATCCACTGGATCTGCTCCCTACTTTGGTGAATCCTCTCACCTTCCACACCTCTGGCCTGCACCCCAGTTCAATGCAAAAAAAATAAAGTGAGCAAGTCCAAGCTGAGATGGGACACCTAAGTATTTAGGATTTTATAATACAAGAGTACATAATCTTTAAGCAAATCTGTATAAATTTCAGTTCATAGTTTTTTCCTAGAAGGTGAATTTTTAGGTAAAATATACCACTTAAAAACAATTTAATGTGGATCAAATCAATAGTTCACTGC